GTTAGGGAGGGGGTTTGGGATGGGGTTAGGGAGGGGGTTAGGGATGGGGTTAGGGAGGGGGTTTGGGATGGGGTTAGGGATGGGGTTTGGGATGGGGTTAGGGATGGGGTCAGGGATGGGGTTAGGGATGGGGTTAGGGAGGGGGTTTGGGATGGGGCCAGGGATGGGGTCAGGGATGGGGTCAGGGATGGGGTCAGGGATGGGGTTAAGGATGTTGTTAGGGATGGGGTCAGGGATGTGCCCCTCATCCCGCATCCAACACTGAAGCACTGACCAAGGAAATACCAGGCGAGGAAGCGCAGGGAGATCATCCTCTTCCTGGGGATGTGGAACAGGTAAACGGTGTCGATGACCTGGTCCTTGGGCACCTATGGAGCAGAGGGGGTGCTGCTGCCAGCACTGCGGGGCAGGGGGAGCCCTGGCCCTGCCACCAGGCTCCAAGCCCCACACCGAGCCCCCCCCCCCACCCTGTGCCCGCTGTCACCATGAGGTTGATGACACGGAAGTCCTTCTGCAGCCCGTGCCCCACAAACTTGACCCCCACGTCGATGAGGAAGCGCAGCTTCAGGTAGGTGGATTTGAGGGTGGTGAGGTGCTTGGAGGAGATCTTGGCATCCAGGTCTCCCGGCTTGATCCCCGAGTACTGGGTCAGGTAATCCACCACCTGCAGAGAGCAGTGCCCACTGTGGGGGCTGCCCCCTCCCCACTTGCCCTGCCTGCATCCCAAGGTGGGTGCTGGCATCATCGTGGGTGCCCCTCCATGGACCTGGTCCCTCCTGTGACCCCATGGGAGACGCAGAACGGGTCCACGTCCTTGGGGGGGAACCAGGCAGGGCCCCCCTTTACCTGCTCCTGTGTGGAGATGTAGTCGTCGATGAAGGGGACGCCCTCGTTGGGGCCCTGCCCGCGCACGCACGTGATCCTGGCCACCGACATCTGGCTGGGCTTGATGGTGGATTTGGTCCCATCGCTGCGCAGCTCGGCCTCCTCCTGCCACGGGGCGAGAGGAGACCTCGGTGCCACCCCCTTTCGGGGCTGCCCCTGCGTCCCTGCACCCCCTCCCCAGCACGGGGCAGGGACCCCACCTCGTTCAAGGTGACGAACTCGGCATCCAGCCCCACCAGGTCCCCTGCCTGCGGCATCTCGCTCAGCATGAGGGGGATGAAGGTGGCGTGGCACTTGCGCTGCTTGCGAGCCAGCGAGGCCTCCGCCAGCAGCACGCTGGCCTCGATGGGGTTCTTGACTGCAAGGGGAAGGGGGGTGAGGCCCGGGGGGCAGAGGCGCTGCCGCCGCGGCCGCTTCCAGCCCGGGCACTCACTGACGAGGTTGTATTTGGCGTTGAGGTTCCGCCGGGCATAGTAGAGGATGGCCGGGACCTTCCAGCTCATGTCGAACTGCACCGCCTCGCACTGCGGGCACGGGACAGGGTGTGGGGCTGGGAGCTGCCCCCCGTGGGGACCCACAGCCACCGCCTCACCCCACACACGCTCACCTTGTCCACGGGCTCGATGAGGAAGTCGTTGAAGAGGTACCACTGCTGGTGCGTGACGCCCTGCGGGCAGAGCACGGGCGCTGCCTTAGGGGGCCCCCCCAGCAAGGCAAAGGCAATGACTCCGCGGCCCCGTTACCAGGGAAAGAGGGACGTGAGGGTGCCATGTGGGAACTCCCACCCTTCCTGGGACACCCAGGGGAAATCCCTGCCCGCCCCGGGGCTGGCAGCCCGCACATGGAGCCCCGGGGCTGGGCAGGCAGAGCCTCTGCCTGACTCCAAGGCAAAACTCCACCGAGACGCAAGGCGGAAGAGGCAGGGATGCAGCCTTGACACACACTGGGAATTCCTGGCTCGGGCACCAGAGCAGCCCTGGCCTGGGGAAGGGAGGTGATGGCCCAGCCCCTACCTGGGGGGACAAGGAGAAGCGGGCAGGGTGCCCGCGAGAGGAGGAACCAACGTGGGGAAGAGTGGGAAGCGTTTTCCTTCCGCCCTTCCCTGCACCGGACGTGCCTCAGCAGCCCCGGGGCTCCGCACTGAGGCACCCGGGAGCGGCTCCGGAGCTGATCCTGCAGCAGGAGGCCAGCAGCACCCCCAGCAGCACCCATGCCCCTCACCTCCTTCCTTTGGTGATAGGTCTCTCCCACTTTGATGTGTCCCACCAGGCTGCCCCCGGTGCGGGAATCCAGGATGTGCACCACGGTGGCCATCAGGTCATAGACATAAACCGACTCGGGGTCCTCGGTGGGGCTCAGCTGCGGGGTTGAGCTCCATGCTTTCCACGCTCCCCCGAGGCCTCTGCCCCACAGCCCCACACGGAGGCGAGCACGGAGCCCCCGAGGGAGCTGCTCAGCCTTTACCTCCTCGTTCTCGCTCCAGTTGCAGACATCGAGCTCCTTGCTCTTGGTCAGCCTCATCTTGATGGCGTGCGGGATCCAAACGTTCTTCAGCTCCTCCACGGAAGGATACGGCTGCCCCGGCTCGGGGCTCCCCAGCTCCTTCCTGCACGGAGGAACGTGGAAAACCCGAGCTGGAGGAGTCCTGGGATGTCAGGCAGGATCCCACCCGGCCACAGGACAGGGAAGCCAGAGCCGCGCTGCTTCCCTATGGAGCAGGAGCTGGGAAAGGCCAATGGATGCTCCTGGGCCCAAGGGTATCCCAAGGGAACGTTCCAGGGTCACTCTCTGAGCACCACTGAGGAGCTGCAGCCCCAGAGGTGGCCCCGTGCTCTCTGGGACCCACAGAAGGCACCGCCGGTGTGGGGCAGAGCCCAGGCACAGGCACCTACCACTCCCCAAGGGAGAGCTCTTTGCCTTTGGGGATCTCAAAGCCTCCTCTCTTCATCAGGGCTCTCTGGAAGGCGAACTGGCAATGGAACACAGGCATCAGCATGGGGACGCAGAGAGGGGACAGCCCAGCACATCCCTTGGGACCAACGGAGCCCAGAGCGGGAGCAGCACCCAGGCCTGGCCACGCAGGCACCCATGGGTGCCCGGTGGGAGCCCCAGCGCCCACCTCAGCCTGCGTCCTCCAGAAGTCGGCCTCCTTGGAGCTGTTCACCTCGCAGTTGATGACCAGGACGTCGGGAAGGCAGCGGATGTTCCGTGTCTGGACCTGGGCAGAGAGCGGGACACGGGGTGGGGAGCACCCAAGGCCATGGAGCTCAGCGTGGGTTGGGTGCACGCTGCCTCCTCCCTGCTCTAGAGCTTCCCCCCCTGCCTGGCTGTGCCCTGGGGGCTGGAGGTGCTGCAGGGAACAAGGATCCTTCCCTTTGGGAGCTGTGGCCACATCCCAGGGCTCCCCCAGCCCAGGACCTACCCCGCAGCGTGCAGGACCCCAACCTCCAGCAGCCCCCCAGGATGTTCCCCAATGGAGACCCATGGGGTGCTCCCAGCCTCTCCCCACATCCCATGGGGTGCTCCCAGCCTCTCCCCACATCCCATGGGGTGCTCCCAGCCTCTCCCCACCACCCATGGGGTGCTCCCAGCCTCTCCCCACCACCCATGGGGTGCTCCCAGCCTCTCCCCACCACCCATGGGGTGCTCCCAGCCTCTCCCCACATCCCATGGGGTGCTCCCAGCCTCTCCCCACCACCCATGGGGTGCTCCCAGCCTCTCCCCACCACCCATGGGGTGCTCCCAGCATCTCCCCACCACCCATGGGGTGCTCCCAGCCTCTCCCCACCGCCCATGGGGTGCTCCCAGCCTCTCCCCACATCCCATGGGGTGCTCCCAGCCTCTCCCCACCGCCCATGGGGTGCTCCCAGCCTCTCCCCACATCCCATGGGGTGCTCCCAGCCTCTCCCCACATCCCATGGGGTGCTCCCAGCCTCTCCCCACCGCCCATGGGGTGCTCCCAGCCTCTCCCCACCACCCATGGGGTGCTCCCAGCCTCTCCCCACCACCCATGGGGTGCTCCCAGCCTCTCCCCGCCGCCCGTGGGGTGGCCCCACCCTCACCCCACAGCCCCTGGGGTGCCGGGAGCTCACCGTGGGCTGGTACTTCTCGCAGTTCTCACACCAGGCCTGGGTGTTCTGCTCCAGGCAGATGCTGCGCTTCAGGACCTGCGCAAACTCGTAGTCCTTGACCGCCTTCTCTGAAGGGGGAAAGGTCCCCATCAGCTCCCAGCACCCAAACCCTGCCCTGGGGGAGTCCTCGGGGCTTCCCCCGCCATTGAGAAGGTCAAGCCCCAAAGCTGCTTTCCAGCAACCAAAAGCTCCTCTGGGCACAGCCCCATCACCTATGGGGCTGCCACGGGCTCCTCCTCCCCGGGACCTCATCCCTAGGGATAACCAACCCTTCCCAGCGCCCGGGCAGCGTGACCCCCCCCTGCCCCGTGCGTTACCGGTGCTGTCGGGGTAGGAGAGGGTGAAGAGCAGCGTGGAGGACACCCGCACCGTCTCCTTGCCGCAGCGGCACATGCTGCAGTTCTCCATCTCGCAGCTGAAGAGCTGCCCGATGACCGAGCCCCCCGAGGAGCCAAAGGGGCTGCAGGAGCACAGAGCACCGGGCTCAGCGGGATGCCAACGATCCCTACGGAGCCAGCATCCCGGGTGCAGGACCAGAGCGGGCTGCGGCTCCCTGTGTTCCCTCAGGGCAAGCAAGCTCCTTCCCCAGCTACGGCTGAGCCCTCGGGAGCCTGCTTTGGTTCCTGCCCGTCCCCACGGGGACTTACGTGGTGCCAGCCCCCCGGTAGGCCTGAGGTCCCTCCTGCTCCTGGGTTTCCTGGTGCAGCTGGGTGAGGATGAAGCGGTTCCAGCTCTGGATCAGCCGGCCCAGGTTCACCTTCCCGGTGGCCTCATCCGAGTCGGCCAAGATGAGCCCCAGCGCCGAGGCCTCCGGGATGGTGCGGAAAGCCCGCAGGAAGTTGCTTCCCTATGGGATGGAGCAGGAGCTGCCCATCCCTGAGGTCAAGGGGTAGGAGCGTCCATGGGGCCTGAGGCCACCACCCGGCTCGTGGCGCTGTGGGACAGAGCTGAGCCTCCCCACGCACCTGGCAGGGGTCTCCTCGGGACAGGTCCAGCATGTGGAAGAGCAAGCCCAGCTCACAGCCCAGGCAGAATTCCTTCTGGCACAGGTGGTTCTGGACCAGGCACCGCACCGGCTCCAGGAAATACAGCACCTGCAGGGGGGGAAGAGTCAAAGCAGGGCCCGGAGCCGCCGCGCTGCGGGCAGGGCTGGGGGGCAGCCCCCACCTGGATCATGCAGTTGCAGTAGGCGTTGGGGATGTGGGGCTCCAGGCCTGCAAACAAGGTCTTGTTGTAATGCTTGAAGTCAAAGTCTTCCAGCCCCAGCTTGGAGTATTTGATGGTGACCTAAGGAGAGACGCAACGCGGTCAGCAGACACCTTCCCACGGCACCTGGGGACGCTCCCCATGGGGATACGGTGCTTCCTATGGGGATGTGGTGCTTCCCATGGGGATATGGTGCCTCCCATGGGGATGTGGTGCTTCCCATGGGGACACGGTGCTTCCTATGGGGATATGGTGTTCCCCATGGGGATACGGTGCTTCCCATGGGGATATGGCGCTTCCCATGGGGACACGGTGCTTCCCATGGGGATATGGTGCTCCCCATGGGGATACGGTGCTTCCTATGGGGATATGGTGCTCCCCATGGGGAGACGGTGCTTCCTATGGGGATATGGTGTTCCCCATGGGGATATGGTGCTTCCTATGGGGATGTGGTGCTTCCCATGGGGATATGGTGCTTCCCATGGGGATATGGTGCTTCCTATGGGGATGTGGTGCTCCCCATGGGGATATGGTGTTTCCTATGGGGATATGGTGCTCCACACAGGGATGTGGTGCTCCCCACGGGGATATGGTGTTCCCCATGGGGTTACGGTGCTCCCCATGAGGATATGGTACTTCCCACGGGAAGCAGCCCAGGCTGAGGGCTCCCATCCAGCCCCTTCCCTGCCCCAGGCACAACCTTCCTGTACTTCTTGGCCACCCTGTAGAGATGTGGCTCCTCCTCCCGCCCGATGGGGGACTCAGGCACTTGGCTGAAGCTGTCGAACTCGGTGTCCGTCTCTTTGAGGCGGTAGGGAATCTGGGAGGGGGAAACGGGAGGGAGGGAGGCTGAAGGCGAAGGGAAGCCCGGCGTGGGCTTTCCTGCTTCCTGGAATGAGTGAAGGAATGGGACTTGTCACTGGGGGAAATCACAGCGGCGCTGCGGGCAGGGCCGATGCTCAGCAGTGCTTTCCCAAGGGTGAGGGACGTGCCAGGAACCTGCACGCTGGAGAGCTCAGAGCCCTCTGACCACACAGTGAGTTATCCACACAGTGAGTTATCCACACAGTGAGTTATCCACACAGTGAGTGAGTTATCCACACAGTGAGTTATCCACACAGTGAGTGAGTTATCCACACAGCGAGTTATCCACACAGTGAGTTGTTATCCACACAGTGAGTTGTTATCCACACAGCGAGCTATCCACATAGCAATTTACCCATAGAGTGAGTTACCCATAGAGTGAGCTATCCAGGCAGCAGCAGGTGAGTTACTCACACAGTGAATTACCCATAGAGCAGTGACTGAGTTACTCATAGAGTTAGCTATCCATAGAGCTACCCATAGAGTAAGTTACCCACAGAGTGAGTTATGCATAGGGTTAGGGTTAGGGTTAGAGCTGCAACTGAGTTACCCACAGAATGAGCTACCCACAGAGCAGTGACTGAGTCACCCATTGAGTTACTCACAGAGCCACAATGGTTACCCATTGAGTGAGTTACCCATAGAGCAGTGACTGAGTTACCCATAGAGCAGAACCTGAGTTACCCCCCGAGCAGGGATTGCAGCCCAAGGGGAGTCTCCAGCCCTGCCCTCACGCACTGATCCTGCTCAGGGAAAGCTCTTCCCTTCAACCTCTCTGCTGCGCTGAGGGCTTGCTCCATCCTCCCCCAGCACAGAACCCCCCTGGTCCCCTCTGGGGGTACCTGGTTGCGGAGCTTGGTCCTGGGGTTGGGGGCGTAGCCGATGAACCCCACTTTCTTCATGGTGCGCAGGATCTCGGGGTCCACTGGGGGGGCTCGGCTGCAGAACACCGCAGGGCTCAGGACCACCAGGGCCATGAGGGTGCCCCCACCACAGAACCATGGAACGCTCTGGGTTGGACAGGCCCACCCAGCTCCAAGCCCTGCCACGGGCAGGGACACCTCACACGAGAGCAGGCGGCTCCTCAAACACTGCCAGGGATGGGGCAGCCCCAGCTTCCTCAGAACCCCATTCAAGGCCCTCACCCCCCTCCCAAGAGCTTCAGAGCGGAGCCAAGATCCCTTCCCACCGGGAAGATGGAGCTTGGGCCATGCCCTGCCCTGTCAGCACCCCCTAAGCCCCTCCACGGGCGCCGTGCACGCCGCAAGGCACATGAAGAGGAAGGGAAGTGCCGGCCCCGTGGAGGAGCAACCCCGCTGCCCAGGGCTGGGAGAGAGCGGGCATTACCGGGGGGCCGGGGCGGCGTTGGCAGCAGGCCAGTCGGAGAGCAGGGCGTCACTGGTCAGCGGCACGGGGATGAGCGAGAGCGGCACGAGGTCCTGGTGCCAGTCCAAGTGGGGCAGCGAGTCCACGAGGCAGGGCAGGGCGAAGTCGGTCTCCCGGGAGTAGGCGTTGAAGGTGAGGTCGGGGCTGTCGGCCCAGAGGTGGACGCAGCCCTCGGAGTCGCCGAAGGCCAGCGCCTGCTTGCTGGCCGAGACGTCGAAGGTCATGATGAGGGGGCCGACGGTGTTGACGTGGAAGATGTCAGCGGGGTTGGCCAGGCCCGTGGGCTCGCAGAACTGGCACTGCCCTGGGTGATGGGGGGGACACGGAGCCACGTGGCACCGGGGGACACGCGGGGACACCGAGCCCCTCTTGCTGATGGGGCTGTGGAACCGGGTGGGCAGCCCAGTCCCATGCTCAGCCAACCCCGTCCCATGCTCAGCCAACCCCGTCCCATGCTCAGCCAACCCCGTCCCATGCTCAGCCAACCCAGTCCCATGCTCAGCCAACCCAGTCCCATGCTCAGCCAACCCAGTCCCATGCTCAGCCAACCCCGTCCCATGCTCAGCCAACCCCGTCCCATGCTCAGCCAACCCAGTCCCATGCTCAGCCAATCCCGTCCCATGCTCAGCCAATCCCGTCCCATGCTCAGCCAACCCCGTCCCATGCTCAGCCAACCCCGTCCCATGCTCAGCCAACCCCATCCCATGCTCAGCCAACCCAGTCCCATGCTCAGCCAACCCCGTCCCATGCTCAGCCAACCCCGTCCCATGCTCAGCCAACCCCGTCCCATGCTCAGCCAACTCCATCCCATGCTCAGCCAACCCTGTCCCATGCTCAGCCAACCCGGTCCCATGCCCACCCAACTCCATCCCATGCTCACCCAACTCTATCCCATGTTCACCCTATGCTATCCCATGTTCACCCAACTCTATTCCGTGTTTACCCAACTCTATCCTGTGCTCACCCAACTCTGTCCCGTGTTCACCCAACTCTATCCCACGTTCACCCAACTCTATCCCATGTTCACCCAACTCTACCCCATGTTCACCCAACTCTATTCCGTGCACACCCAACTCTAAACCATGTTTACACAACTCTATCCCATGTTCACCCAACTCTATCCCATGTTCACTCAACTCTATCCCATGTTCCCCCAACTCTATCCCATGTTCACCCAACTCTATCCCATGTTCACCCAACTCTATCCCATGTTTACCCAACTCTATCCCATGTTCACCCAACTCTATCCCGTGTTCACCCAACTCTATTCCATGTTCACCCAGCTCTATCCCATGTTCACCCTATGCTATCCGATGTTCACCCTATGCTATCCCATGTTCACCCAACTCTATCCCGTGTTCACCCAACTCTATCCCATGTTCACCCAACTCTATCCCATGCTCACCCAACTCTATTCCATGTTCACCCAACTCTATTCCATGTTCACCCAACTCTATCCCATGTTCACCCAACTCTATTCCATGTTCACCCAACTCTATCCCGTGTTCACCCAACTCTATCCCATGTTCACCCTATGCTATCCCATGTTCACCCTATGCTATCCCATGTTCACCCTATGCTATCCCAACTCTATCCCACTGGGATTTGCCCCCGACCATGAGGCCTGGGGGGAACCTGCCCCGCTCACCGACCTGTCTGCGAGATGATGGCCAGGCGGGAGGTGTAGGTGGGGATGAAGCGGAGGAAGAAGGGGTCGATGTGGACCTGCAGGGGGGTGGTGGCCCTCATCATGCGCAGGTCGTAGACCTTGAGGAAGCGGTCGCAGGCCAGCCCGTTCATCCGGCTGGAGAAGCCGCACGTCACCAGCAGGTTCCCGTGGACGTCGAAGTCGGACAAGCTGCCCGAGTAGGCGTCGAACTCGTGCTCCACCACAAAGGTGCGCAGGTCCCGGAGGGAGACCTGGCAGGGCAGGGTGAGGGTGCTGGCAGCTCCCCGAGCACCGGCTCCAGGGGACCCTGCGTCAGGCTGGGGCTGCGGGTACCTTCCCTGAGGTGTGCCCGCAGAAGAAGAAGCGGTTCGATTGCCTCATGATGGTGATGCCGGGGACCTCCACCGTGTACTGGGAAGGGGGCACAAGAGAGGGGCTGAGCAGGGCTGAAGGCCGGCACACGGCACCTCCCGACGGCGGGGAGCAGCCCCCAGCACCTTCTGCGTCTCCTGCACGGTGTTGAGGTCTATCTCCAGGACGTGGTTCTGCAGGCCGGCCACGAGCAGGGTGCTGCTGTCGGTCAGCAGGAGGCTGTGCATGTCCTCGGACTCCTCCATGCTGCACGGAAAGGGCACTGCTCATAGAGCCAAGCTGCCCCCAGCGGGGCTGGGACCCCCCCCCGCAGCACGGCGCAATGGGAGGAGGCACTTACAGGTAGTCGAAGATGATGAGGCCGCCGCGGGACATGTACTTGAGGTTGGTTTTGGTGAGGAAGAGGACGCCGTTCTCCAGGCTCTGGATCTGGCGGATGTCGTCGCTGCTGTTCACTTGGAAGGAGGAATACCTCTCCAGCGTGGGGCCAAAGAAGGAGGTGGCGTGGCCCTGAAAGCACCGGGGATAATGGTGAGATCCCCCCTCCGAGATGGGACACGGTGCTTTCAATTCCAGGAAGAGGGACGCTTCCTGCCCCTGTGGGCCTTGGAAACCCACTTGGGTTTGTCCCTTTCAGGCAGGTTCATAGACTTGTGGAATGCTTTGGGTTGGAAGGGACCTTAAAGCCCATCCAGATCCATGGGCAGGGACACCTTCCACTGGAGCAGGGTGCTCCGACCTGGCCGTGAGCACTGCCAGGGAGGGAGCATCCAAACCTTCTCCGTTCATCCCACCCCAGCGCCCCAGCGCCCTCACAGGGAAGAACCTCTCTAGATCCAAGCTGAACGTCCCCTGCTCCACTCTGCACCCATCACCCCTTGTCCTGTCCCCCCAGTGGGGGTCCATGGGCACCTACCCCGTGGTTCCCCACCCACAGCATCTCCTCGTGGAGGTCGAAGTGGGAGACGGAGACGGGCACCCCCACTTCGGACACGGCCGTGTGCAGCTCGCTGTAGACGCCCTCCATGAGGTGCACGGACTCCGGCACCGGGAGCCCCTCCAGCGGGACCCCCTCAGCATCCAGCTCCACGTTGGGCAGGAGGCTGGGGTTGAGGTGTGGGTCCAGGACCGGGTCCAGCGCCGGGTGCAGGGGGGCAGCGTAGTCCGCGAGGGAGGGGTTGAGCCCCTCGAAGTTCATGCTGAAAACCTTTGGAGCAGAGGGAGGACTGCGTGGGGCTGGGAAACACCGGCATCCGGCTGGGACCAGCACCGGGGCAGCACCAGACCCACACCGGCAGCACCGGCAGCACCGGACCCACACCGGTAGCACCAGGACAGCACCGGACCCACACCGGTAGCACCAGGACAGCACTGGATGCACACCGCCAGCACCGGACCCGCACCAATAGCACCAGGAAAGCACGGGAGCCGCACCAGTAGCACCGGGACAGCACGGGACCCGCACCGGCAGCACCGGGGCAGCACTGGACCCACACCGGTAGCACCAGGACAGCACCGGACGCACACCGCCAGCACCGGCAGCACCGGGACAGCACGGGACCCACACCAGCAGCACTGGGGCAGCACTGGACGCACACCACCAGCACCGCGGCAGCACCGGTCCCGCACCGGTAGCACCAGGACAGCACTGGACGCACACCGGCAGCACTGGGACAGCACCGGACCCACACTGGCAGCACAGGCAGCACTGGACCCACACTGGCAGCACCGGGGCAGCACCGGACCCACACCGGCAGCACCGGACCCGCACCGGCAGCACCGGGGCAGCCCCAGCAGCGCCCCCGCGGGGAACCGGACACCCCAAGCCCCGCCTCACCGCCCCCCCCCCCTCCCCGCGAGGCACGGGGCCAGCTCCGCTCCTGTCTCCGTTATCTCGGCGGGGCCGGCACCGGCCCCAGGCCGCTATCAGCACCCGCAGCCCCGGGCGGGTCCCCGCTGGCCCCGAGCCGTTCCCCAACCCCCCCGCGCCCGCCGTTACCGAGCTGGGCCCGGGCTCGTCCCGCTGCGCAGCCACGGCCGGGCCGGCGCCGCCGCCGTCGCTATGGCAACCGCGCCCCCCGCGCTCCTGCCCGGTGCACCGGCTGGCGGCCCGGGACCGGAGGACCAATGGCGACGCAGAGGCGCGAGCGCTGGCCAATCAGCGCCTGAGTGAGGCGGGACTAAGCGGTGGTGTGCGGGACGGCGCGGCGGAGAGGACAAAAAGGATGGCACCGGACGTAGCGGAGTCCCCGACTGTCCGCGGATGCTCCGCGATGTCCTGCGCTGCTCCCGAACATCCGCAGCTCCCCACCGTGCCCCACCGTGCCCCACCGTGCCCCACCGTGCCCCACTGTGCCCCACCGCGCCCCACCGTGCCCCACTGTGCCCCGCCGTGCCCCACCGCGCCCCACCGTGCCCCACTGTGCCCCGCCGTGCCCCACCGCGCCCCACTGTGCCCCACCGCGCCCCACCGTGCCCCACTGTGCCCCGCCGTGCCCCACCGTCCCCCACGGTGTCCTACCGTGCCCCACCGTGCCCCACTGTGCCCCACAGTGCCCCACCGTGCCCCACCGTGCCCCACAGTGTCCTATCGTGCTCCACAGTGTCCTACCGTGCCCCACCGTGCCCTACAGTGTCCTGCCGTGCCCCACAGTGTCCTACCGTGTCCCACCGCACCCCACAGTGCCCCACCGTGCCCCACAGTGTCCTACCGTGCCCCACAGTGCCCCACCGTGCCCCACAGTGTCCTACCGTGCCCCACCGTGCCCCACGGTGTCCTACCGTGCCCCACCGTGCCCCACCGTGCCCCACGGTGTCCTACCGTTCCCCACGGTGTCCTACCATGCCCCACCGTGCCCTACGGTGTCCTACCGTGCCCCACCGTGCCCCACAGTGCCCCACCGTGCCCTACAATGTCCTACCGTGCCCCACCGTGTTCCCTGAGGTCCCCAAGCCAAAGCACCGTACCCGGTCCGTGATGCTGCCACCCGCCCCGTTCACCCTCCCCGGCCGCCCCTTCCCGAGCCTCCCCGCTCCCCGCGCTTGAGGCGCGCCGGGTGCGAGCCCCCGTGCCCGGGGAAGGCCGGGGGCAGCCCCGCCGGGCGGGAGCAGGAAGCGCCCGGAGCCGCCCCGTCGGGGCCGCCGCGATTGCGGCTCCGCGGGCAGCGCGACCCGGCCGGGCTGCGGGGCCTGCGGGGGGCGAGGACGGGGGAAGCCCCGGGAGCCGCTGTTGCTGCGATGGGGCCGCCCCGGCCGATCACGGAGGTAGCGGGGGACAGCGGAGGGGACAATGCGGGACTGCGGGGGTCCCGTCCCACCCGGTGCGCTCGGGGTGGGGGGGGAGGCCCCGGTCCCGCCCGTGCCGCTGCCGCCGCGGAGCCGCCAGGAACTGCCCTGGGTTTTCCTGCCCGTCCGGTCCCGTCCCATCCCGGCGCGGGGCCGGGCCCGGCGGGGCGCAGCCCGGGGACCCCGGCCCGGTATCGGTTCTGCTTTCGGGGGAGGCGGCGATTTCGCAGTAACGGGGGGCGGGTGCCACCTGCCCCGGGGATTCCCCACCTGCCGCCGCCCCATAAGAACCCGGTGGCGGCGCCGGTGGCGGCACCGACCCGCCATGGACCCGCTCCGACGCCTCTGCCTCTGCCTCCCGCTGCTGCTGCTGCTGCCGGCGCCCGCGGCCCCGGCCCCGGCCCCGGTCCCGGTCCCCGGCCCCAACTGGGCCGCCTGCAAGAGCCTCTCTCGGGAGCTGTCGGGGCTGGTGGCGACCCTCAAAGAGCCCCACGGAGTCCTGGTGAGCGCGGAGGGGGGGGCTCGGATGGGGGGGGCAGGGGGTGCCGGGGGACGTGGGGACCTCATTGACCCCCCCCCGCTGCCAGGAGGACACGCACCTGAGCGAGGAGGACCCCAAGAACTGGCCCCCCCGGATCCGCTGCAGCGACGCCTGCGACCCCTCCAATCTGGACACCAACAACACGGTGCATGGGGTGCTGGGGGACAACGGGGGCCTGAGGGGGTCCCATGGGTGCTGGGGTTTGTGCCTGGGGTCCAGAGGTGCGCGGGGATCCCAGGGATGCTGAGGGATGCATTTGGGGTTCCCGTGGGTCCTGAGGGTGCCAGGGATGCAGTTGTGATTCCTATTGGTGATGGGGGTCCCAGTGATGCTCAGAGATGCAATTGGGGTTCCCATGGGTGCTGGGAGTTCCAGGGATGCACTTGGGATTCCTATTGGTAATGGGGGTACCAGGGATGCTGAGGGATGCAGTTGGGGTTCCCGTGGGTGCTAGGGGTCCCAGAGGTGCTGAGAGATGCAATTGGGATTCCCACTGTTGATGGGGGTCCCAGGGATGCAGTTGGGATTCCCATGGGTTCTGGGGGTCCCAGGGGTGCACTTGGGATTCCTATTGGTGATCGGGTTCCCAGGGATGCTGAGGGCTGTGCTTGTGATTCCCATGGGTCATGAGGGTCCAAGGGGTGCAGTTTGGATTCCTATTGGTGATGGGGTTCCCAGGGATGCTGAGGGCTGTGCTTGTGATTCCCATGGGTCATGAGGGTCCAAGGGGTGCAGTTTGGATTCCTATTGGTGATGGGGTTCCCAGGGATGCTGAGGGATGTGCTTGTGATTCCCATGGGTCATGAGGGTCCCAGGGGTGCAGTTTGGATTCCTATTGGTGATGGGGTTCCCGGGGATGCTGAGGGATGTGCTTGTGATTCCCATGGGTCATGAGGGTCCAAGGGGTGCAGTTTGGATTCCTATTGGTGATGGGGTTCCCAGGGATGCTGAGGGATGCACTTGGGCCCCTCAGGGGTGCCGGGGGATGTGCGCGGGTCCCCTCTCACCCCCCTGTCCCCGCAGCGCTGCCTGCACCGCATCCTCCAGGGGCTGCAGCACTACCGGGACCTGCTGAGCTCCGACATCTTCACCGCCCGGCGCCTGCCCCCGCTGGAGGCCGCCCTGGAGCAGCTGCTGGGGCTGGTGCAGGTGAGGGGATGGGGGCCGGGACCCCCGCCGGGAGCCCCCGCACCCCATCAGCCCCTTAACGCCGCTGTCCCCACAGAAGGAGCCCGCCCGCCCGCCCCGGCGCCCCATGGCCCGCAGCGAGCCCTGGGCTCAGCCCCTGCTGCAGCGCCTGGCGCTCCAGCGCCTCCAGTCCTTCAGCACCATCATGAGCCGCGTCTTCACCCACAGCGCCGGCCCCCGCTGAGGCCCGGGGGGGGGGCCCGACTATTTATTCCCCTCCGGAGGGGTTATTTATGTGCTGTTGGACGCTATTTATCGCGGGTATTTATGGGTTGCGAATAAAGGGCTGAAGGAGGCGAGCGGCTCCGTGCGTGCGGCACAAACCCGGGTAGGAAGAGAGGATGAGGTTTATTTACCGGGGGGGGGGGGGCGTCACTGGAAGTCGTTGGCATCGATGTGGAGCGGGGGGAAGTCGGTGCTGAAGAGGGACCCGACGGCAGCGGGCAGCGCCGCGTCCTCGGGCTGCGGCAGGAACGGGTCGTGGGCATCCAGGAGCGCGGCGCTGCCTGCGGGGGGCGGCCGGAGCTCAGCGCCGAAGGGGCGCCCCTGTCCCCTCCGGCCCCGGCACTCACCCTCCAGCCCCGGGCCCGGGCCCTGCCCCTCCGCGGCCTCCAGGGCGCTGGGCATCAGCTCCGCCGCTTCCAGCGCTTCCAGGGTCCCCGAGCCCTCTGCGAGCGACTGCAGGAGCTCCTGCATGTCCAGGCTCCCGGGCAGCGGCTCCAGGTCCCTCAGCTCCGGTGGCAGCGGCCCCGGCTCCTCAGGGACCAGCAGCGGCTCCACAGCCCCTGACACCAGCTGCAGCATCCCCGCATCCCCGGGCACCGGCTGCAGCATCCCCGCATCCCCGGGCACCGGCTGCAGCATCCCTGCATCCCCAGGCACCGGCTGCAGCATCCCCGCATCCCCGGGCACCGGCTGCAGCATCCCCGCATCCCCGGGCACCGGCTGCAGCATCCCTGCATCCCCAGGCACCGGCTGCAGCATCCCCGCATCCCCAGGCACCGGCTGCAGCATCCCCGCATCCCCAGGCACCGGCTGCAGCATCCCCGCATCCCCGGGCACCGGCTGCAGCATCCCCGCATCCCCAGGCACTGGTTGTGGCATCCCTGTATCCCCAAGCATTGGCTGTGGTATCCCCATGTCCCCGGGCACGGGCTGCAGCATCCCTGCATCCCCGGGCACCGGCTGCCCTCTAGGCACCACTTGCAGCATCGCCACAGCTCCCGGTCCCGGCTGCAGCATCCCCTGGCCCTCGGGGATGAGCTGCAGCACCAACTGCGGCTCCATGCTCCCAATGCCCGGCTGCAGCACCTCCAAGACCCCTGATGCGACCTGCAGCGGCTGCGATGGCTCCAGGCCTGGGGGCTGTGGCTGCAGCAGCGCAGGGCTCGTGGCCATCACCTGCACTGTCCCTGGGCTCGTGGGCTGCGCCGATCCCCGGTTCTCAGGCACGACCTGCAGCATCCCTGGCTCCCTGGGCTGCTGCGCCCCGGAGCTGCCAGGCTGCAGCTTCAGCGTCTCCAGGTTTTCCGTGGCTGTCACCAGCTCCTCTTCTGTCTGCCACGACTCATTGGCCTGCCTATGGGAAGAGATGCAGGGTTGAGGCTATGGGGGGGACACAGGGGGACCCCCATTGCCACGTGGCATCGCCCTGCCCCACCTGGAGGACACGCGGATGAGGCGCCGGTTCAGGTACTTCTTCTGCTCCATCAGGTTCCCTGCGGGCAACAATGGGATGTCGGGGGGGGGGGGGTGTGCTGCAGACCTCAACACCTCAACACCCCCCCCACGTTGTCCCACCCCACATCGGGGCCGTACCCTCCTCCCTCTTGCTGTAGTAGGGCCCGAAGGCTTCGTCGCGGGGGATGTTGGGGTGCAGGAACTGGAGCGGGTTCTCGGGGACGTTCTCCTCCACCAGCAGCTGGTAGTCACGGATGATGTCGGGTAGCGCCAGGGACACCAGCTCGGCCGCAGTGTAGGGGACCACGGCGCGGAACGCGGGGGGCCCTATGGGGAGGAGGCTGTTGCTGTGGGATATGGGGATACCCGTGTGGGGACCCACTATTGGGATATGGGGATAGCCCCTATGGGGACCCACTATTGGGATACAGGGATATCCTGTATGGGCATCCACTATTGGGATACAGGGATATCCCGTATGGGGACCCACTACTGGGATATGGGGATATCCCGTATGGGGACCCACTATTGGGATATGGGGATATCCCGTATGGGGACTCACTATTGGGATATGGGGATATCCCGTATGGGCACCCACTATTGGGATACGGGGATATCCTGTATGGGGACCCACTATTGGGATATGGGGATATCCTGTATGGGGACTCACTATTGGGATATGGGGATATTCCGTATGGGCATCCACTATTGGGATACAGGGATATCCTGTATGGGGACCCACTACTGGGATATGGGGATAGCCTGCATGGGGACCCACTATTGGGATACGGGGATATCCTGTATGGGGACCCACTATTGGGATACAGGGATAGCCCGTATGGGGACCCACTACCAGGATGTGGGGATATCCCGTATGGGGACCCACTACTGGGATATGGGGATATTCCATATAGGCACCCACTACTGGGATATGGGGATAGCTCCTATGGGGACCCACCACTGGGATATGGGGGACCCACTATTGGGATATGGGGGTAGTCCATACGGGGACCCACTATTGGGATGTGGGGATAGCTCCTATGGGGACCCACTACTGGGATATGGGGGTAGCCCATATGGGGACCCACTATTGGGATGTGGGGATAGTTCCTATGGGGACCCACTACTGGGCTATGGGGGAGCACTCACCGCTCTCAGGATGCTCCACCCAGGTGCAGGTGACCCCCCCCAGGATGCTCTCACTGAACCGGATCAGGAACGTCCCCGTCCTCTTCCCCTTCAGCAGCTTCTTCTCCTGCTTCCGGCTCACGAAGCCCAGGATGAGCCTGGGGGAGGCCCCGTCAGCACCCCCCAGGGACCCCCCCATTGATTCCCCCCCCCCAGCCCCTTACCCATCCTTCCAGAGCTGCTTGAGGTGCTCCTGGAGCAGCCCCAGGATCCCGTCCAGCCAAGCCCAGAAGGAGAAGCCAGCGGCACCATCCTGCAGGGAACAGGGGGGCCATGGGGGCCATAGGGGGCTATGGGGGCTATAGGGGTTATAGGGGGACTATGGGGGGCAATGGGAGGCAATGGGGGCCATAGGGGGCTATGGGGGGCAATGGGGGGCTATGGGAGCCATAGGGGGCTACGGGGGGCAATGGGGGACTATGGGGGGCAATGGGGGACTATGGGGGGCAATGGGGGGACTATGGGGGGCAATGGGGGGCTATGGGGGCCATAGGGGGCTTTGGGGCTATGGGGGACTATGAGAGGCAATGGGGGGACTATGGAGGGCAATGGGGGGCTATGGGGGCCATAGGGGGCTATGGGGGGGCTATGGAGGGCAATGGGGGGCTACGGGGGAGCTATGGGGGGCAATTGGGGCTCACCTTGGAGAACTTGGTCCAGCTCAAGGTGCTCTCTGGAGATGGCTTCGAGCCTTGGGGGGGGGAGCGCAGGGTGAGGGGGGCAGGGGTGGGGGGCAGGGCTGAGGGGGGTGTCGGGGCCCGGCCCCCCCGTACCGAAAAGCTTCTCGGCCAGCATGAGGAGGTGCTCCCGGGCCAGGCCCCGCTCGGCCACGCTCTGGAACTGCCAGCTCAGCACCTGCGCCAGCAGCGGCCACGGCGCCGCGGGGGGGGCCGAGAAGAACTGGAACTGGGGCTCCTGTGGGGCGGGAGCGGTGGCATGGGGAGGGGAGAGGGAGCGGGGAGGGGAATGGGATGGAGGAGAGGGATGGGGATGGAGGAGAGGGATGGGGATGGAGAATAGGGATGGGGATGGAGAATAGGGACTGGGGTGGAGAATAGGGATGGGGATGGAGAATAGGGATGGGGATGGAGAATAGGGACTGGGGATGGAGAATAGGGACTGGGGTGGAGAATAGGGACTGGGGTGGAGAATAGGGATGGGGATGGAGAATAGGGACTGGGGTGGAGAATAGGGACTGGGGTGGAGAATAGGGATGGGGATGGAGAATAGGGACTGGGGTGGAGAATAGGGATGGGGATGGAGAATAGGGATGGGGATGGAGAATAGGGATGGGGATGGAGAATAGGGACTGGGGTGGAGAATAGGGATGGGGATGGAGAATAGGGATGGGGATGGAGAATAGGGATGGGGATGGAGAATAGGGACTGGGGTGGAGAATAGGGATGGGGATGGAGAATAGGGACTGGGGTGGAGAATAGGGATGGGGATGGAGAATAGGGATGGGGATGGAGAATAGGGATGGGGATGGAGAAGAGGGATGGGGATGGAGAATAGGGACTGGGGTGGAGAATAGGGATGGAGAATAGGGACTGGGGATGGAGGAGAGGGATGGGGATGGAGAATAGGGATGGAGAATAGGGACTGGGGATGGAGAATAGGGATGGGGATGGAGAATAGGGATGGGGATGGAGAATAGGGATGGGGATGGAGAATAGGGATGGGGATGGAGAATAGGGACTGGGGTGGAGAATAGGGATGGGGATGGAGAAGAGGGACTGGGGATGGAGAATAGGGATGGGGATGGAGAAGAGGGATGGGGATGGAGAATAGGGACTGGGGTGGAGAATAGGGATGGGGATGGAGAATAGGGACTGGGGTAGGGAATAGGGATGGGGATGGAGAATAGGGATGGGGATGGAGAATAGGGATGGGGATGGAGAATAGGGACTGGGGATGGAGAATAGGGATGGGGATGGAGAATAGGGATGGGGATGGAGAATAGGGACTGGGGTGGAGAATAGGGACTGGGGTGGAGAATAGGGATGGGGATGGAGAATAGGGACTGGGGTAGGGAATAGGGATGGGGATGGAGAATAGGAATGGGGCTAGAGAATAAGGATAGGGAATAGTGGTAGGAACAATGACAGGGAACAGGGATAAGAACTGGGAGAGAGAATAGGAATGGGGAAGAGGGAACAGGGATAGGGAACAGGGATAAGGACTAGGAGAGAGAATAGGGATAGGGAATAGGGAACAGGGAGAGGGACTGGGACAGAGAATAGGGACTGGGATAGAGAATAGGGATAGGGAACGGGGATAGGGACTGGGACAGAGAACAGGGATAGGGTACAGGGACATGGAACAGGGACTGGGACAGGGGCAGAGCACAGGGATAGGGACCAGGACTGGGACCAGGGAGATGCACTGAGGCAGAGCACGGGGGGCAGAGCCCTGCACCAGGCACAGGGGGCCAGGGCCATGCTGGGGGGGGTCCCACTTGCCTTAGGGTCGGGGCTGAGCATGTTGAACCAGAGGATGGAGGCCCATGCGCTGGAGAGCTGGCTGTTGTTGGAGATGATGACGAAGGGCAGCGTGGAGGTCTGCGGGGAGAGCAGGGCTCAGGCTGCACCCCCGGCCCCCCCCGGCCCCCCTCCGGCCCCATCGCTCACCTCCAGCTCCAGCTCCAGCCCGCAGTACGCGTACGCCAGCGTGAAGGTGATGAGGTGCAGCTCCTCCGTCACCACCAGGGGGCCCTATGGGGCAACGGGGTGGGGTGGGGGGGGTGTCACCGTGGGGCACCGGCCACCCCCATTGCCCCCCATTGCCCCCCATTGCCCCCCAGCAGCCTGCACCCACCTCGCCGCCGCCTTTGCTGCCCTTGCCGGCCCGGCTGTCCTTCTGCTCCTTCAGCGTCTGTGGGGCGGGACAGGGTCAGGGGCGGCGT